ATTTAATTTATAACCCACACACGTATTGCTTCCACGCCTACCAGCAACTTAAAATGCAAGTGATAACAAGCGAAGAATTTGTTTTTCTTATGTACACAGCCTTATATTAATATACTTATGCAAGTGATATCCTCAAACCATCTTCCCTTCACTGCGACTCTTGCTCTGAAGCAGCCTCCACATTACCACCAATACCACATTTTGCTTCTTGGCCCAAAGTTTTTCCTGTAAGAAAGAGAAACATACTCTCTGCCAAAAACAACACAGACCCTGCAGCAATGCCAACACCTCCGCATCGTTGTTGTACGGAATTATTCAGGCTTGAGAGGCTAAAGAAGATGAAATGAAATGTTAAACACTTCTAAGCGAAGATGAAGCAGGCGCAGAGTTTCCTTGGGTTTCAGTCTGGCACCCACTCCCCACCTCCACTGCAGGCATTCTCCTGAAATAAATGCACTGTAACATAGATCTGTTTACACGTTCACACTCCTTTGCTAGCTTCTTACATATTAGAAATGTGGACATCTTTAATCCGCTCCAGCCTTCAGTACGAGGTTCAACGGTACACAGATACGTTGCACACAGTCGACCATTGCAATAAATGCTAACACAAAACAAAGCTTTACTGTATTGGATTTCTAAACACATCTATCAATGAAACAGATAATTACAACTACCTAAAAGCTAAAAAAAGGTAAAGCTATCCCTGTAACAGGCCGTGAAGGCCCATAGAGTTGTACTACGTTGATGCTCCCATATTTTCTCTAGACAATCGGCTCACAGATGGCGGTAAGGCTCTCAGCCTTACGCGCCGGCCGCGCTTTACTGACCAAGAATATTCCTGGTACTCATTTCTGTTAGAGGCTGAGTCGGCTCCAGGGCCATAGTGTGGCTGAAAGGATTGGGTCAACTGAAAAAAACCCAACCTCATCAGGACTCGAACCCGCTACCTTCCGGCTTACAGCATAGTGCCCCTTACAACTACCTATACATTAATTAATATGTTGCAAAGGACAGAGTTGCCCAAGTGCTTAATTAAGTACTGAGAAATGGTGATACAGTTGCACGCATACTTAACTACATCATCCGACACTGAAAGTGCCGCTAGATAGCCTGTATACAAAATATTAACTTCAGAACTCGATGAGGGTGTGTAAAAATGTTAGTCTCCAGCTATTTTAATCCAGGGGAAACGGCCCTTGGTCCAAACCTTCGCCAGTTACTGCAATGCGTGGCTGTGGCCGGTATGTCGCTGATGTATCTAGAATATGTAATTTGCACGTCCAGAACTTGTGTAACTTATATGTTCAAAATGTGTGTCGCATACACGTCCAGAAACTTGTGCATAACTCGTATGTCCACAATTTACATGTAATTCGTATGTCCAGAAACCCGTGTCCGTTGTATGTAAAGAAATTTACATCAATCGCATGTCCAGAATTTATGTGTCTCTTGTATTTTCAGAAACTTTCATCGATTGTATGTCCGGATTTATGTGTCGGCTTATGTCCAGAAACTTTTGTATATTGCTGTATGTAAAAATCTAAATTCCGGCTGAATTAATAATCAACTTTTAAGAAAGCTGCTCACTGCCTCAGCCATTAATTTCGGTTTAAAGGTCTCTGTGATTGTCTGAACAATTAATCTTTTGTCATCGGACTGCAATCAGTAAAAATAAAATTAATTGTACTGAGAGACAAAACGTGATCTTAACCCAGCACAGTGACCACTTTGAACTCTATCTTCGCAAGGAAAATAAGAGGATATCAATGTGTTCGTTTCATCTTTACATGAAACAAACTGATCTACAAGCATGCAGTATACCTCGACATGGGGCGAACCCGGGAGCGCAAATTGGGTAGAAATCTCGACGTCGAGTTATGAATGTCTGTCTCTGGGGTGCATTCCAACTACAGTCACAGACTGTGAGCATCATATAAATAAGAAACCATGCTCAAATAAAAGCAGATTTTATTAGCAAACAACAGAGCTGAAACATAATGAGGTACGCTTAACTCCTTGCCAAGACAAACATCTGACTGCACTTTAGGCAAATGTACACATATCACTAATCCTCCGGCTTGGTTACAGGACGTGCCAGCCACTGGAACAACAAACTTATCAAATAAAGAAATGGGCTAGTCTACATAAATGCTTATACACAGGCACTCACAAAGCAAACAGTTACTCTCGCAGCGTGAAGAGAGTATTTCCTTTGAAACGTAAAGAATATTTAATTATAAATCTACCATTCACTCAACGACAAATTTACATTCTCAGAATGTAAAGGTAATGCAAGTGTTGAATTGCTTAACGGAACATCAAATATGGCGGCAGGTACATGCAGCTGTAACCTCAAAATGGTCCCAGAGAAGATACCAGCGCCCGCAATATTAACAGTAAAGCAGGTGGCTGCGCTAAAACAGAAATATTCAGGGGAGATAATACACACACAGTCAATTAAGGCAACATGTGCCGAGCGATATATATGAATAAAAATCAGGGTCCATCTGTAATAAAGAGACTGCACACAATCGGCTGTCACTGGGTAACACAACCGTTTAAATGTTTCTATTCTGCAAGGCCTCCAAGCCGTGGGTCCTTCATCAAATGAATGGATCTTATTGTCAGATAGTTCCTCTTTCGGATATATATGTTACAAACAGAAATGTTCTGCATACCGCTACTACCTCTCGCAGAAATAAGGATGTTCATTTATTAACAGCCTTCATCAGTTCCGTTGATCCTGAGGCAGTACTGAATAAAACGGGACTTCTTCAGTCTGCAATTACCAGCGAGGTTCTGGATTAAAGATTGATTGAAGAGAATGTGATAATGTGCTGCCTGGTCACAATTCAGGGGGCAGCGACAGAGCGAGTAGGGAGCAAGTGCGTAACGCGGAGAAGTACCAGCTCCACAGCTATTTTGCCTGCGCTACGAGCACAACCACGAAACAGGCAATCTTTGAGAAATCAACACGTCAAAATGTAAATACAGTAAATTGGGGGCTTCATGTGTTTTCGAGAAAACAATATTTGCAGTGACAGCCGACTGTTTTAATTTAAGACTCATTTCAAGTAGAATAGAAATGACCAAATTCTTATTCGAAGTTTAAAATCCATTCATATTTAATAACTAATCTCATAAGGAACGTATACTGTTCCACTGTAAAACAGGGATGTTTATAAGAGCCTTTTCAACTCCTTGCAACATTACCAAAGCATATACCACTTAAATACCTATTAATAGGCTGCTTAAATTAGTGGTACTATTACAAATTATAATTACAGAATATTAATTACATGGTACGTTGTATAAATCAACACATATACAAACATATATGTCCCACTTCAAAGCGATACACATGTAAGTCAACAATTAAAAACAAATCATTTGAACTGACTCCGACCGGCCTATTTATCGGCGCAAGAATATATCTGCATCATGTGCCTGATCTTTGTTGCAAAACTTTCAAATTCCTCATCGAAATGGTGAATTAAAACCGTCCGACACATAAGGATACAACCGACATCAGGGAAGACAAAGAAAGAGGGACTACCTGTAGAAACCCTGCAACACTTACGCGGTTTTAAACTATAACAGGACTTTCAAATACGTTACATACTATCATAAAACCCTCAGATGTTAAATTATGCATGTTTATGCAATTTGTTATTATCAGATACGCAGCCAAGCAGAACTCTCCTGTTGGGCGCTTAGCATTATGTCCACTGTCTTTGACACTGACAGACGCCTTACTTCTTACATAATATGTTCGTAACACATAACTCATACTTATGAGCACTTCCTCAGACACACGGCATGTCGTTTTCTTCTTCTGGAACACTATTTGTCTTAAAAGCCAATGAATCACTAGCTGAAGGCGCATTTATGTTTCAATTAATAAAGTCTTTAAGGGAGTTTATGACTATCACTCAAACAGCTGAAAACTATTTCTTCTTGTAAGTTGCGGTTTATGTTTTTCAGTGCTTCCGGTAGCACTCCCCTCAATATTACTATCTTCTGGAATGTGACACCATGCAGTCTGGTAGAAGTTTACCAATGTTCCAGGGGAGCAAGCTGCCTCCACATTCAGGGTTGAAGAATAATTTCAGCAAGAAAAGCGGCCGGCAGCAAGCAAAGTTCTGCTTTCTGCCAGACTACACGATGTCACATCACTGAAGGCAGTAACTCTTCATAGGTACCGCAGTGCGAACCTGAACTCGCATATTCCTGACAGCTCTTTTCTTCGGCTTCAGCTAATTATACCTGAACCAACTTTCTGGAATAATTAGAACTTGATCCGCGGTATGACGACTCTTCCTGAAGTCCAGTCACACACGTAACTCTTACGTTTGGACACTGGTCTACACTGAACTTCAGGGCATGCGGCTCAATTGAGCTGATATCTCATTAAGAATATCAACCGAACCACAGCAAAGACCGACATTTCAGTTCAAGAACATTATGTATTAATGCTTTCGTTACAAAAATCTGGATTTTGAAAGAGTCACAGATAGAAATCTAAGTCTGTCTCGAGTCTCGGTGGCTACGAGGCGTGGGTCGTGATCGACCTTGGCCTGACAAAGGGGCTGCGAATTCAAATCCTATTCGGGTAAAAGATGTGTGTTCCCATTTTTGGAACCTGCTTTTGACAGTGTAGATATACGGCGATGGGAGCGTCCCCCATCCAAAGATATTCCGTGTGACGAACAGATTATCTGAGAATAAAGTTAATTCGCCGGCGGAAGAGGCCACATCACACAATCAGCGAAACACAAAAAGAAAATAAGGGTTAGGGCGTCGCACACATCACATAATGACTGTTATTTTTCAGGCCTGAGCTTCGTGTGTTGAATTTACCGCCGGCAACAAAAAACTAATGGATATAAAACCAATTAACGATGCAGAAATAAACCATGTCTTAAACGGGGCTCTTTCAATCCATGTGTATCGCCTCGCACGTAGTATGTAACTGCAAATGCTGCTCAGTGTCTTACTTGTGATATTGTGCTTGAAGGAAGTTGAATTCTTCCTTTATGCGGTCACAGGATTCACCGACTGTGAACTTAAAGGGCTGCCCCGGTTGTGGCGGACCCTGAAACAAATGAACACAAGGACATCACAAAGTGGAACACCACAACAAAGAAACGTCACTCCTTTCCCATTCAGAAGCCAGAAAGCTTTTTAGCTCTTCATTTTTATAAACGGCCACACAGTCTGGAAATCAGGTCATGAAGAAATGCAACCGCATGACTTGGCAATGCTAACAAGAATCGTAACCTCTCAATTTTGGGACCTGTAATCGAACGGTGATTTTACGCGCATCGCTGATCTGATGCATAAGCAATGACGTGGTGAAGAAGTTGCATAACACATACAGCTCATTCCAAGCAAACCCGACCCTTTCTGAAGAACAAAAAAATATATACAGGGTGTCCCAGGAGGAATGTGCCAAACTTCGGGAGGGTGTTCCTTATGTTAAAGTATGCCGATATAACCCAAAACACCTATGTCCAAAGTTGAACGGTTACGGAGATAATGGCCCGAGAAAAGTGTGGTCTTCTTGC